AGATGAAAGCTTTTTTACAAAGAAGAGAGAGGGGAAAAAAAACATGGAATACTTCCACAGCAGTGGTAATTTGGTAGATTGCATAGAGACTGATAAATGGGAAGTCTCAGATAAGCAGCACTTGGTGCAATTTTTCCACCATTTTGCATCATGAAAGATTGTTAAGTCCGGAATTTTTGGTAAAAATATATTTACGGGTGCCCCTTTGGTGGTACATAGACACCGAGTTTGTGCATTTCTATGACTGTTATTTTTGCAACAAAAATCGCCGTTACACAAATCCAAAATAACAAATCAAAGACTTACACAAACTCTGTATCTATATACACATTGACCTTACACAAACTAGGAATTGCACACTCCCTTGACACATCGATTTATATTCACTTCACACAACCAACAAAAAATATAGAATCTCAATAAACTGCATTTTAAATCAAACAGTGAAATAACAAAAAAGGAAATTCATCTTAGCATTAAAGGCATTCTGGAAAGTGCATCAAAAGGAGCTTTCCAGAAATTCGCTCTTTAGCCCAATATAGGGGAAAAAGTTCTGCTGGGCGAAAATCCTTTATTTATACAAAGGGAATATCTGCTTACCTTATTTCCAAATTTCCGTGTCTTCAGTCAAACAAAATTCCTTATCAGCATCCAAAAACTTCCTAAAATTATTTGAACTCAAATCTGTACACTGGCGTCACCACATAAATTCACAAATATAAGTGTAAAAAATATCCTCTGTAGTGTCGATATCCTCCGACATTCGACTATACGTATTTCCTTCATACAAACAGGATACTTATAATAGCTACTAAGTAAACCTTTTATTTACATACCAGTCAATTAATGCTTTTTTCCCTTTCATTCCAAATTGTACAGAAACTTCAAATTAAGCTTACCACATTCAGCCTTTTTACTGTGTAAACCACAAAATAACAACATACTTCTTATCCAAAATCTGACACACAAACAAGCCTTTTCAAATCTTTTCCCATCATTCAAATTCACTGTAGTCATGCAACCAATTACATCATAATAGGTTTCCATAGCAGTCAACTACTCAGGTTACCATAAATGAAACAACTTAGCGATACTAATTCAGAAGTCAAACAACAAAAATCAGCATTATATTTTCAAAATTTTTACAGGACTAGTTTCGATGGTTTTACCGAACCACCATCCTCAGCTGCAAAACCGCAGAAAGGCGGGTAAAACCATCGAAACTAGTCCTGTGAAAATTTTGAAAATATAACGCTGATTTTTGTTGTTTGACTTCTGAATTAGTATTTATTCAGCGTGTTATTGTCTTAACTTAGCGATAATCAAAAGGGCAGCCTTTAATCAAATTTTTTGACACCAAGAGAAGAAAAGCATCAAAAGGCACTTTCCAGAAATTCGCTCTTTAGCCCAATATAGGGTAAAAAGTTCTGCTGGACGAAAATCCTTTATTTAAAGAAATCAGTGAAATATACTTCATGTAAAAAAAAAAGAGCAGAATAATGCTTAATATTGTATTAACATTTCAAAATCTGATAAGCATTTTATTGCATTTTTAATAATTATATTTGAATATAAACTTGGTTATGAGGGTTTAAAAAATTACTTTTATAATACAGGGTGTCTATCAGTGATCTAGCGGTAAAACTGTTGCAAACTGCTAATTCATCTTGGAGTTAATGATCTTCCATCTTCTTAAGTAAATAGCCTGCGAGCAATGGCGGCTCGTGGCTAAAATTAGTGGGGGTGCTGTTCCAAAAAAATTTGTCTAAAAGGATTGGATTATTTAAATAATGACAAAGCACACGAGGGCTATCTGCCTAAAGGAAGGGATGCCTTCGAGCAAGACTTTCTAAGGGAAACTAGCTCATATACATGTTACATATGGGGAAAACCATGAAAATGCCCATGCAGCCAGCCCGTTCGCGGGATTCGAACCTCGGACCGAACTAGGAGTGTTCAGCGTCTTTACCGCTCAGCCGCTGGTGGGCACAATTGTCTAAAAGGAAACAAACATGTATAGAAAGAAAATTATTGAATACATGAAATCTTACAAGAAAAAAGTTAAACATTTCCTAATTACTTAACCAAAATTGTTACAATTCAATCTTTGTCTATTCAAAAAAGAAATCCATTTTTTGTTTAATGTGCGCGAAAAGATAATTTTCTCCTTGATCTCTGGATGACAACTGAGGAAATTTTTCTTTGTTGAAAGCAATGCAAGTGCATTTAATCTTTTCGAATTCATAGTGCTTCTTAGAAAATTTTTTATTCTTTTCAATGTTGAAAAGCAGCATTCTGCCTCTGATGTAGTCATGGGACCTCTCAAGACAATTTTTATCTGTTTCGTAGTTTCACTAAGAACATATCTAGATTATTTTCGAAGATAAATTTCAGTAGCTCAATTAATTTGCAGTATTCATGGATATCAGACCCACAACAGAATATTTTTAGTTTGGTTTCAAGCTTTTCTTTGTCAATCATTGGATATGCTTCAGTGGTCAGTACTATTTTTTCTGTAGAATATTCATTCCTAAAACTAGCAAAGCATTTCTTGTTTAAAAACTGCTAAGTGTTTAGTTGTAGAATATCTGTGCATTATTTCAATATATAAAGTCACATATTTCCTTAGCTTCTGCCATCAGTGTCTTTGAAAAATTCTCACAGTATTTTGAGTTTCTTAATTCTAAAATAGCAGTTTTGAAATATGTTACATATTCCTTAACTGTAAACACACTAATTTCTCTGGATTGCATTTAGTTGTATATTATTTCAACATGAGGCATCTGGTAAAAAAGCTCTAAGCAAAACTTGAAATTATCATCATTTAGATATTTTAAAATTCCTATCGCTTTTGCAATAGTTTGATGTGCATTTGATGTTGATTAAATTTCAGTAAGGGCAATTATTTAAAAATTGCAAATTTCATGAACATCTTTGTTTATGGTCCGTATGGTGAAGTTCCACCTTGTGGGGGAATACCACACGCGCAGAGTAAAAAGAAATCACGTTTCCAACAACATGCCAGATTTTTTTCACTGCAAAAGAGCGACAGTGCTTTTCTTCTCTCCCTTGGCTCACGTACTGCTTTCTGTGTGCGTATATGCGTAGAACAGCCAAACACTACGTCGCTGGAACTGGGAAGCGCGCAGTTCCAATCAAAGACTTTCGTACCTTTTTCACATACCGGTAGGGATGGCTATTGACATTTTAAGCTTAAGGTATTATGTATCGTGAAAGTATAAAGAAAGAATTAAAGACTAAAGGGCACACTATATTAAATATTAAAAATAATAATAAGTGGAAATAGGGGGTGCTGCAGTTCCACAGTGCTTATTACGAGCCACCACTGCCTGCGAGTGCTTTTCATATCCTAAATAATCATAATTCTGTTTATATGTGGATATGATTAGAAAAAGTGGTTGAAGTTTACTGTACGGTTTCGCTTGGTTTCTGTCTGAAAAAATCTCCAAGGGGTATTAAATTTTCGTGAAATCTGGAAGCCCTCTGTATGAAGCAGATTTTTTGGTAACCCTAATGTTGATAATGTTGGCGAAACTAGCCTTGGGGAAAATTGCGAATATTTCCAAATGTGTTGTGATAAGTTGAAGTTTTGGCTATTTTTTGTAATAGTAACCCTTATGATTGGACCGGAGATTTTGAATTGCTGTGTTTGGTTACACATGTGTAATGTTTTACGAAAGTTGTGCCTGAAAGTTTGCATAGTGTTATAAATGAATATTTTGTTCCGGATATGATTATAATTTCTTACCGCTGGAAAGAGTGCATAAAATAGAAGGAACAGATTTAAGGGCTCTCTTCTTCGTAAATAGAACCAATTATATCATGTATATATCCACTATTAGGTAAACGTATATTTACGGTTACCCCTTGGCGAAAATTGGCGATTTTTGGCAGTACATGGATACAGAGTTTGTGCAATTCTTTGACTTGTTATTTTGGCTTTGTGTAGTGACGATTTTAGAGCCAAAAATCGGCGCTACACAAAGACAAAATAACAAGTGAAAGAATTGCCCAAATTCGGTACCCATGTACACATTGACCTATTTTCACTTTAAAAAAATCACAGAATTGCACAAAACTAGGCATCGCGTACTCCCTTGACTTTATTAATGTACACATCGATATATTTTTACTTTAAAAGTCAAAGGAGCACCCAATTCTACAGTAGAGGCAAACAAAAATTACATAATCTCAATAAACTGCATTTTAAACCAAACAATAAAATAACATAAAAAAGGAAAAACCTCCTATGCATCTAAGCACTACACAAAGCAAATATCCATATGTTGTTTATATAATATAATATGTTTACCTTATTTAGAAATTTTTTCATCTTCAATCTGTGGCACACAGTTCCTTAACACGTTGAGCACGGCGCAAAATTTTCTGTCCTTTCCGTTCAGCCGGCAGCGAGCTAAGCCGTATTTTTGTTTAGAATGTTTCAATACACTTCATTAAAACTAAATTTGATCACATTTCATTGAGACAATATATAATTTTAAACTTTAATACTGTCGGTCCCACGGACCGAAGCCAGCCAAATGAAAATTCCAGTGCCGGTCTCCAGGGATCGACACCGGCCACACAGAACGTTCACTGCCAGTCCCCAGGGACTGACGCCGGCCACACGGAAAGTTCACTGCTGGTCCCCAGGGACTGGCGCCACGCTCAACATGTTAATAGCATCCCAAAACTTCCTAAAATTATCTGAACTCGAATCCGTAAAAAGGCGTTGCCACATAAATTCACAAAAATAAGAGTAAAAAATATCCTCCTTAGTTCTGGACTGGCCGGAAAATGGCTACCAAGTAAACCTTCATTTACACACCAGTCAATTAATGCTCACTTCCCCTTTCGTTCTAAATCGTACAGAAACTTCAAATTAATCTTACTGCATTCAGCCATTCTACCGTCTAAGCAAATAAAACAAGCAGTGTACTTCCTAACACACACCGCAAGCCCTTACAAAACATCCCATAATTCAAAATTTACTGCAATCGTGCAACCGATTATATCATAAATAGGGTTTCCATAACATTCAACTACTCAGGTTACCATAAATAAAACAACAACTTTGCAATGAATGAAACAATAACTTGGCGATAAATGAAACAACAACTTTGCGATAATACAAGGGGTACCCTTCAGTATATTCTAATCCCGCTATTAACATTGGATGAGCCGAAACGACCAGATATTTAATTGAACTGCTTACGTGGACGAGATGATGGTGGGAGGTGTTAACATATGCACATGAAGAAAAGGTATGTTAAAGAATTGATGTTTTATTAATTTATTGGTGTCTGTGTGTTAATTTTTGTTGAAAGATTTGTTTAATGTTTTTATATTACGAAATATGTATTGTTGGGTATTTGTTACTCTGTGTTTGAGTATTTTTGGTTATTTGTTTGTGTCTGTGTGTTAAGACAGCAGCGAATTTTTTTCTGGTTAACATGATAGTTTTAGCTTTCTGATTTTGTTTAAGTGAAAACAGATCGATGCGTATATGGAGAAAGTAAAATTAGTGCACAATGCCTAGTTTATGCAGTTCTCTGATTTTTTTTTAAGTTAAAATAAGTCAATGTGTGCATTGATAAGAATTAGTGAGCAATGCTTAGTTTTGGCAGTTCTCTGATTTTAAGTTGAAATAGGCCGATGTGTACATGGACACCGAGTTTGTGTAAGTGTTTGATTTTTTGTTGGGGGTGGAAGGATCAGCACCATATTGAATTTGGTGCTGATCCTTCATGGTGGTGATGTTGGTGTAAAAAAAAAGAAAAAAAATCAATGATTCGCCAAGCAGAATCGCCACTAGATATCTTACTGCCTAATGCAGTCTCTGTGGATCCTAAATTCTTCTATCAAGCATCTCTGTAAGTTCTAAATTTTTGCCTCCCTAAATTTTGGGTTTTGGGGCTTTTCCCTAAATTCTAAAAATTTTTTCATCCCTTAATTTTGTTGCTCAGTACTTATCTAAATTCCAAAAATTTGGTCTTTCCTAAATTCTGCAATCCGGTGTGACCATACGAGCTCTGGTGGCGGTTCTGGGCTTATGTGAAAAACAAATCAGTTATTTATAATTAAAAAAATCACTAAATGTAATCTTTTGGCCTGTGAGTATCATTAACAAAATCTATTTTTAGCATATGGAAAGAAATTTTTGTTAAATTTTTTCTCGTCAACATTTCTTTAACTTAAATTTGTAATTATTGCCAAGCGTAATGTTAACATAAAAGGTACTATTTGTAACCTATGCTCTTTGTTATTAAATTATGAATATAAAAGAAATGTTTGAACATCATTGCACAAATCATTATTCAAGTTGTCATTTGTTGATAAACATGCAGTGATAAAAGCAAAATATAATAAATAATGATTTGCCAGGTTAACGTCAGGGGTATAAAATATTAGTAGATGCAAAATCAACGATGTTTCTGTGAAGAATGTTTTGGTTTGAGATGGCAAGCTGAAACTTAGCTATGGAGCCACATTATTGATCACGCTTATTTATGGTAAATTATTGTTTCTTCAATAACAAAGTATTTATTTAGTGCCGGATGGAAATTAAGAATCAGGACTCTTCACATGTTTTATTATTGGGGGGGGAGGGGGAATCAAATGCACATGCGTAAAGCATACGAAAAAAACAAGTTGGTGGTTTCGAGGTCCGGATTTTAGATCATTCCAAATACTGGACGTCCGGATCTCGGACTTTGTACTGTAACAGTATTAATTCTAACATTCTTGGAGATGTTGAAATTCCAATTGATGAGCTTAATTTTGTGAAAATCTCTCTCTCTCTCTTTTTTATTTTTTTTATTTTTTATCATAGATTCTGATATCTTTGTGGATTAAAATTTAACACAACCATGTCAGATAACATACAGAGTAACATGAGCACAAAGATGTCGGATACTGCATTCACATCCTGAGATGGCACGCTATGTTATGCCAAAGCATCATATTGAAATTGCAACCGATTTGGTTGTTATGATGTTCAGTACCTTTTCATTCGAACATCCCTTGTATATCAAAATTTGAATTTCTCTTTTTCATGATTTAGATTCAAGTACCTTTAAAATTTTTTTTGGAATTAAATTTCATACTTCTGGGTTACTTCATTTAGATGCATACTACTAAATTAATATTATATTAGGAGGTAATATAATCAATATTTCTTCAGTAAATAAATTATTATTATTATCTTACTTTGTAGCTATTGTGCAAGTATTAGAAATTTTTTTTCGATTTCAATGCATTTAAGTTCATTCATATATATATATATATTGCAAAGAAGGGGACACTTAAAATTCGCTAAAGCTTTAAAGTACATTTGATACATCAATTCCAAAGTATACCAATTTAATACAATAATACTAAACTAAAGCAGTTAAATTATACAGGAAAAGAACCTACTGTAGCTACTACTAAATTAAATAAACAGCAAAAACAAAATTGGAAATTTGAAAAGACTAAAAAATTTTTTGGAAACCTAAAAAACATCATCATATTTTGTTCGCTTAACAATTAAAAACATTTTAAAGGCAGAGAAATTATATACAAAAAATTGCAATCAAAGGTCAGTTAGCTCAATTCGAGATTTCAGACAGACTTATCAAGGGAAAAGTGCCCGAAATCTCCAATTTAGCTAATGACATAGGCACGTTTCGTCAAACGATACAATTGAGACTGAAAGTGGTAATTCATTAATAAAATTATCAAGTTGATTTATCTTATTTTAAATAAGTCTCAATAGCTTCATCCCTTTCCCCGACGTGCTTGTAAATTAAATTTAAATTGAACTAAAAGAACAAAATTAAAATTAAAACAAGAAAAAAAATTTTGCAAAAAAATTAAAATCTTCAACTGATGTAAGAAAAACCTATACAAAGTAGCCTGGGCTGGCAAATGTACAACTAAATTAAACAGCGTAAAGTCATAAAAAACATCATGTAAGTCATAAAAATACATTATTTTAAAGGTAAGCCCTATCAAATTGAAAAATAAAAACTGTGTTAAGATGAAAAATAATGACACAAAAAAGGTCCTGCTAAGACCAAAGGCAAAGAAAAATTGAAGGAAAAAGGACTGACATACCTGCAATATCCTTCTCAGATTAAAGTGAGCTAAAATTGTGAAAATGGTTGCCGGAAAAAGATGTCCAGATAAGCGCTTCCAGAATAGAAAAGCAGCCAAATTTCACCAATTGGGTGAGATGACATAGAAGAGGAAAACAAACGTAAATTTGCAGTAGCCAATGGTACTTATTGGTCTATGGGGGGAAAAAACTCGGGGGCCAAAGGGGGGAGAAGGAAGGATGAAGAAGGAGTTTTTAAGTTTACTACTTTCTACTTATATATACACTGGTTATCATAAATTAAGGAAAAATCACAAAAATAGCGATAACTCCCTCAAAAATAAGCCAAACCGTGTAAAATTTGAATATGTTGCTAAGTAAGAGTAGCTGAGTAAAACTGCGATATGCAAATTAGTGATGCTGCTTTTGGAATGCGTCATCTGCGAGGAGCATAAAAGTCCATGTTTGAGAGCAAGCCCACATATTTCACTGTGACAATGACATCAGAAATCTGAGATAGCCAATTCGTAACAATGACCTCCAGGCATCATTTGTGTGCAGAACTGTGATGGAGAGCCATTGGGAGAGTAGAGGCAGGACAAAGTCAAACAGAAGTGGCCAGATGGCTAAATGTGAGCCCTTCTGTGGTTCATAGACTTTGAAGGCAATTTCAAACCACAGATTTGTCATCTAGCCAAGGACAGCCAACTGCTACAATGAGCGCCGATGACCGATATTTGACATTATGTGCACGCCGGAATAGAACCGCTACTCCGACTCTTCTTTGATCCTTCCTTGCTGCAGCCACCGGAAGGTTCGGGTCAACGTCAGCTTTGTGTAGAAGGCTTCACGAAAGTGGTCTGTATGCGAGGTGACCAGCCATTTGTGTGCCACTCATGTCACGCCATAGGAGGGACCGTTTTCATTGGGCACAACAACATGTCCACTGGACGCCCGATCAATGGAGGGCGGTTCTTGATGCAAAAGCAAAGTTTAAAGTTATAAAAACATTTAGCAGAAATAGCAATAGAAGCTCCCTAAGGTTATATACTGTGCAGACATTGAAGACAAAAGTTTTAAACTTAACCAATTTATTAACAACATATATAAAAATAAAAATACAATAAATAAATTTAATCAACACCAGAAACTTAAAGAGTGTAACATTATCAAAAATTATATTTAGTTGACTATTCATTAACTCCAAGGGTTTTTCTTTTAAAGAATATTACACTATTAATGGTACAGCAAATGTATTAGCTGATCTTTGAATACTGGCATTCAATATGCGGAAAACATATTACAGAACAAAAAATACGCGGTTAATATGAATTTCACTTCACTATAAATAAGTCCATGCTTTTTGGTCAAGAAGGCACAGGAAAAATTGAACTGAACCTTGAGTGCACTTGAATTGGCAAAAGCCGCTTACTGTAGTTGCTCACGAGAAATCACAGCTTAGAAAAACATCGCCGCTAGTCCTGGAAAAACACTTGTATTGAAGATGCCGCCTTCATGAAATGGGATGCCACCCACGGCAGTTGCTCACTGGAAATCACAGTTTTGAATTTGACGTTGCTTAACTTTGGAAACAGGACTCCGCCCACGGCAATTGACCACTGGAAAACAGCTTGGTATCTATCACCGCCGAACATACAAACAGGATGCGCCCACGGCAGTTGCTCACATCGTAGCCGCTCTGAGGAATCCAGGAAAAATCATCTCGGACTGGAACCATGGTACTTATCGCTGGACGGCACACATTGCAATATCGTCTTCCATTGAGGGCTGGAACGGCAGACCAAGGAGCAATGAAACAGGAACCAGAAGGAATAAACCAGAGCGATGCGAGATACTTATACTTGAAGTAGACATGACGTCATCTCACGGCAATCAATCAGCTATCGGCACTACTCAGCTTTCCAGATGACGTAACATTAAGTTTCATTTTTGCATCTTAATAAGCTGGAACAGTCCGTTCTTAATACAAACAGTGGCAGTGAAAAAGAAGTAGAAGTAATTGCTATATCCCTTTAAAATAAGAACTAAACCTTATGTAAAAGTTAGAATTATTTCAAGGAGGAGAGATGATACAGAAAAAGGGTTACAATAGGTTATTATTTTCAACAGTTCTCTTTACGGATGAGTCCAGGTTTAGTCTAAAAAGCGATAGTTGGCGTTATTTGA